GAGCTGGCAACCTTACCCGAGGGTCTGACGTTTGTCACATTTGACGTTTTGAGAGGGATGTTTAACTGCATCTAGCACGAAAGTGACAAGTGCCTGTGACAGATGACGCAAGTTATAAATGCCATTCTCCTGCAATATTGCCAAGTCGTTATGTCATTCTGAATGGTTCTAGGAGCTGATTGGTCGGGCTTATTACGTCACAGAGCCCGCCACAATCATATCGTTTTGAATAAACCTTTAAAACCGCACATGTTCATTATTTTTTTGCTAATCAGCCTCTATTTTTAAATAAACTTTTACTGTCCAAAAAAATGTTTTATGGTTTCAGGTACACGCTTATTAAATTAGAACTGCAGAATTCAACTACACTGTAAACCCCCATTATAGATTATGTTTGGTATTGGTGCACATATACCTGGTTGCGGCAAATGATTACTAATGTGATGTTTTATAAGAGCGGCGCAGCATAGGATTATTTATCTCCCTGTATATGTACCAATTTCCATGAGAAAACTTTTAAATCATACTAGTTTGTGTTTGAAAAATGGACATCCATATTTACACAGTTTTAGTGAATTTTGCCAAATGGGAAAAGTGCTATTATGCATATTCTGCCTGTACAGTGTGTCCTATTTTGGTTGCGACTGCAGTGTATCTCAGCTGTTTTTAAAAAGATAGAGATTTGCGGTTTTCGTGACCCAGTGTCACTTTTTTGTGAAACTTCACAAACGGAATTAAGCTAATTACGTCTGTTTCTGAGATACAGGGTGAAAACGAATAGTTTGACTTTTTGAGATGTCATATTTTAGTACCCATCTAATATAGAAAAATGGTACAAACTGCCTATTTTAGATATTTTTATGTAGGATCCAGTGGACTAAGTACTAATCAGGAAAAAGAGGAAAAACAATTTACGTTAAAATATACAGGATGTTGCCTTTAAAAAATATTAACATTGTCCCAGATCTCAGAAATGGTTATCCAGAAATACGTAAAAATATTTAAAATAGTCCGTTTTTACCTTTTTAGCGCATTTCCACAAAAATAAAAAAATGCGCTATTGTGGCCACTTTGTTCGTCCGTCCGCTCGTTTTGCGACGCTACTAGTTCTTTATCTTAAGAGCTATTGTTCTACTTTTTTCGCTATTTGGTTCGTTATGGTGTCGAGTCTTGCACCAAGGAAGGAATTTTTTCTGTATCGCTTACAAAAAAAGTTATTGTAAAAAAAAACAAAAAACATATTTCATAATTTTACACTTTTGCCGTTTATTAACGCTCCTAGAGATCGTTTATAATTTTGCATTGCTGTCTGTCGTCTGCCTGTTGGTCTGTCCGTCTGTTCCTTTGTTTGTCTGTCCTTCTATCTGTCCGTGTGAACGATAACTTTGTTTAGAAATGTCCGATCTCTTTTACATCTCCGTTAGTTATGAACTGAATTGCATGAAATTCAATATGGGCATAACTTTAGCCATATAATACGCAATGCCAAAAGTTGAGTCGAATCGATTCAAAATTCACAGTGCCCTTTTCGCATCTCGACCATTTATAAACCGAATTGCAAACTTTTTTAATTATAATAGTTATTTATGCATCAAGGGCATTAAGGCGATATTTATGCCGAGGGCGACAGAGCCCGAGGGCCTCTGGCCCGAGGGATTGTAAGTCGCCCGAGGGTTAAATATTGAGTAATGCCTGAGGTGCATACAACATTTTATTTTTCATCATTCTAAAGAATGCATTTCCAATATACAAATGTCATGATTATTGTTTGCCCAACGTTAAAGTGCTCCATACGAATCAAGTTGCATCTTTTTTATGACATAATATAACTCTGTCAATCAATTTGACAGGCCATTTGAGGGCATAATAAGATGACAATCCATTATGCCCTCTCATTATGTCCTTGGGCGTAATAGACTGCTTCATATATCACATATGACGGATATAATTGACATATAATAGGCAAATGAAAAATAAAAGTATTTAAATGAAATTTGATACATAGCTACTTGGAATAAAAGCAAATTTAACGCCAATTTCAAAATTTGGTTTTGCGCATGCGCAGTGCCAACTTTCTTATTTATGGAGGGATTTAGATGAAATTTGATACATAGCCACTTGGAACAAAGGAAAATCTAACGCTGGCTTCAAAATTTAGGTTTGCGCATGCGCAGTTCCAACTTTTTTATTTAGAAAAAGATTGGAATGAAACTCTTCTTATAAACTGAAATTGAAGTAGCTCGTCAAAAATGGATTGCACATGTGCAAGCTATCTTTCATATTTGTGGCCGGGTTTTTACAATTTTAACAAAAGTTGCATCTTACAAATAGGAAATGAATGCAAGTGGAAATGCGCTTTATGTAAATCGTTTACGATTACTTTTTAACTTGTTTCTATATTACATGCGTAAATATGATAACATCTCAAAAAGTCAAAACTTTTCTTTTCACCCTGTATCTCAGAAACCAACGTAGCTAGATTGATTCTGATTGTGGTATTAAAAGTTTGTGGTATTAAAAGTTTCACAAATAAGTGGTACAGGGTCGACAAAACCACAAGTCTCTATCTTTAAAAACACCTTCAAGATCAATTTGGAATGAGAGCCACTAATTTTGAACTCTATGATGAAAATATCGGAAAATTTTACTATCTAGCAATTAAAGTAAAAATGGGTTAGAGTAGGGCGCTTGGCTCTACGATGATAGAGATGACCAGATATGTCCCTAAATTTATACACACACATTAGACCCAACAAACATGTCACATGTAAAATTTCAACTCCCTGTGACCATGTATAACTACTACTACTCTTATGCGTGGCCATAGAGGGTTGAATTTTTACATGTGACATATTTCAGGAGGTAATAAGTTTTGGGAAATATCTAATCATCCTACTCTAACTTATTTTTACAGTAATTGGTAGACCGTGAAGGTCGAGGTCAAGGTCATCTTCAAGGTTACCATCGATTATCTGTTCAACCTTTGAATGGAACTTTTTTTCCAAAAAAGATGATGGCATCAAGTTATTAAATCGTCTAAATATAAAATTATAAATGATTCACCTGATATGTTATACTGTGTGTTCGAGATATTAGGGTCACCACAATATCTCTCTAGTAGCATGCTATCGATGCTTACTTTCTTGGTAGATGATTAATCGAAAGGAGACACTTTACACATAAACATTTAAAGGCCGCATGCCATACGTTCAAAATCCTCCCTCCATTTTGCAGATATTTGCACCGAAAATTTTATTTATTTTTTTTGCCTTTATTTTTGAGTGGGCGGGATTTCAGCCCAGGCTGCTCTACCAACCCAACCCACTATACATTTACAAATATCCATGCCCGAACTCGGATTTGATCCAGGGACCCTTAGCACCACAGTCCAGTTTCAACTGCATTGCGCCACACGGACCTTAGACATCAACAATAGATATGTCTCGTCCTGACGTTCCACTTTCCTGTTCCGACACTTTGCTGTCAAGGTATTTGCTTCGACTTCACCAATAGATATGTCTCATCCGAGGTCTCATCCGATCGATTCATTTTGCCTTTGAGAGTACTTTCCTCCGTCAAACCTTTTTCGGAATTTTCGCTCTTAAAGTTTTGATATCACCAATAGATATATTTCTTTTCGACGTCTCAGTCGCCCTTCGTGAGTAGTGCTCTCTTCCAACCATCTATTTTGGAGATATATTGGAATATCTCCATTCACGATAAGGGCTCATTCATTACAGTACCATGAAGAATAACACCAGTTCCAGTCCCTCCTTCCCCCAACCCCCTCTTTTGATAAAGGGCCAGAAAGAAGGGCGGTAGATGGTTGAAAACGGTTCCTTTCGTCGAGACCTTTCATTAGAATACCATGAAGGAAAGAACATGTGTTTACCTTTTCTACCAACTACCGCCCTTCTTTCTTGCCCTTTATCAAAATAGGGAGTGGGTGGCGGAACTGGTTTTATCTTTCATGGTGCTCCCATGAAAGGTTTCAACGAAAGGAAGTAATTTCTACCAACTATAGTCCTCCTTGTTGGAGGAGGGTACTTACAAAGGGCGATTGGGACGTATAGAAGAAATATACCCATTGGTGATGTCAAAACGTGCAGTGTGAATATCTCGAGAATGGACTGTTGAAGGAGAGTACTCATAAAGGGCTACTGAAACACAGGGACTGGGCATATCTAATGATAGGGTCAAAACTTTAAGTGCGAATATGCCAAAAATGGAGTGCTGGAAGATGTTACTCACGAAGAGCGATTGGGGCGTAGGGGTGTTAACAACTGCGCTTTATTTGCACAACACTATTTTTTCTTGGGTTACCATAAACAACCATTTTCAATTGATCAATTTTCAAGGTACTATCTGCATCTGCCATTTTTTTAAATTAAAAGACAATATACTAGCGACTTAGTGGCGCCATTTTATGCGCACATTTTTCAATTAGCTACTTTTATATTTGAAACAAGGGAAGTCCATGGCATCGCAGATTATTGAAAAAGATGCGGGTTTTATTTTTCCAATTTTCCATCTTTATTATGAAAAAAATTGAAAACTAATGCGGTTGATTGGCGTAAAAATTTTTTTTCTACAAAAAACCTTAATACATTTTTGCTCTAAAATAATTTGGGGAGCCAAATCGCATGTTATGAATTCTACATTGAAATACCTATGATGCGTTACGCAAGTCACCACCCTGTATATACGTTCTCTGAGAAGTTCACCAGGTAATTGACATTTTATGATGGGTAAAATTCACCTCATTGATTTTATATTCGCTGCTGCAATGCCCCCCCCCTCCCCCAAACTGATCCTTTGAATTTAGATTGAAAGTGTTTCCAATAATTTAGAATCCCTATCTGCGAAATACGTATGTGTGGAGGTGTTACTTTCAAAACAACGGGCGTATTGCGGTAGTTGCGCGGTTATTTTTAGAAATATTTAAACATTAATTAAAAAAATTCAAAAAAGGTTATTGTTACAGTTTATACCTTTTTCAGGCGTCGTCACAAAGTAATTACAAAGCCAGTCCAGCCCTACCAAAGTTGAATCCAATTTCACCAGCTGATAGGGATGCAAATGCGGAGGACGCGAGAGATCCTTCACCACATATCAAGCAAGAGCATGACGGAAGTCCACACATCGACTCGTATCATTCTATGTCGGAAGCATTACAAACAGTAAGTAATAATTATAGTTCTTCAGTTAAAGGGGGGAGGGTTAAATGTTTGCAAATGATAATGTGAGTAGTGTTTAAGCTTTATTCAATTTCATGTGTGCTTTTGATGAAAATGTTTGGATACCTTTCACACTCTGTGTGAATGTTTGTTTGGGTGGCCTGATTGTTGACAAAGTTCTTGGTCGAAACTTTCTGCTGATTTCCAGATTTGTCTAACATTGCACATTTCTTCGTCGATGGCTGTTCAACTGTTTTTAATTTGCGCGTTGCAAGTCTTTATCCAGGTGTAATATTCTTGATTAAAAGACTAAAAGTTAATCAATCAATGTCTAAAGTGACTCGACGCTCATTTATTCTTAGTTTTTCATCACTTCATCCTACAAGAGAATGTTTGGAAATTTTCATTTACAAAGGCGGTGCGATGATCAAAGTGCAGTAAAATTAGGGTACCTTAAAATTCCTTTGAAGATAGTGATTTGGTGTTATATTTAAGCTGTTCTCATTATGTGTTTAGTGTTGCGATAGTGAAGTGCTTGGTATTTGATGTGATTATTTGTTTAAATTTAACTCTCCCCCATCTGAAAAGTAAGGTTTTGCTTAGTACTTATTATAAGCATGTCTGTTAACAGACCTGTGCTAAAGAAGTACATTAGAACTCTTCTGTTAATAGAATATTGGGTGGGGGAGAGACTTACCATATGAGCGCAAGCCATCACAGTGTTCCCAATTTTGGGAGACGAGTGTAGATCTGCCTGCAGTTCAACAAACGCCTTCTCCAGATGTGAATCATGTTGCTGAAGTTTTACATTCCGCCAAAGAAAACCTCAATAGTATTAAAGATTTATACTCGGAGACAAATATTTTTGAAACTGAGACTAAAAACCCCTATCTACCTTCATTTGCGTCAATGTTGTCAAGAGTTCCTTTGCCTCTTCCTCCCGAAATTAATGTCAAAGGCAATGTGATATCTCAAGAATGTTCCGTTATTCAAAACACTTCTAATCAACAAATAAATTCTCAAGTGCAGTTATCCAAGCCCGGGAGAAAGGGTAACAGATTCAGGCCCAGTTGGCTCCAGTCGTACGTTTGGTTGCAATACGACGAACAAGAAAATATAATGTTCTGCAAATTCTGTAGGAAATGGAGTGCCAATGTGCCTGATATACGTACATCGTTTGCCTTGGGAAGCACGAATTTTAGATTAGAGATTGTGAATCATCATGACAAGTGCAAAGCACATAGACTCTGCGTTGCTAAGGAAGTTGAAGCAGAAAATCTTAACAGGTGTTACAAAAGCACATTAAACTATCAGTAAATGCTTTTTTAGGGTTAATTCATTGCCATTTTTATGGTATGTATAAAAAACAAAAGACTTTTTTATAGTTTAATTGATGCTGATTATTATTGATTGATGCTTATTATACTTCATCACTATTTACAATATTTTTCCGAAAAAATTGCAATGATTTACCTGTTGAAATATGTTTATGAAGTATTATTAAAATAATTTTAGTATTAAGGGTAATGTTTTATTTATTCTTAAAACGATTTTCTGAAAATCCCATTTAGTTTTATGTAAACCAATGATAAGTTATACCTTTTCTGACATTAGCATTGTACATAGGTTTGAATTAAATAAAAAATCAACGATTATAAATTTGGAATTAGGGAATATGCATATATTTTTTTAAAAATTTTTAATCGCTTTTTTACATCGTTTTAACATAGTAAAAAGTGTAAATACTGTTAGAACAATTCAATTTAACTTGTAAAATAATATTTAAAATGTTGACCTTACTCGATGTGTTTGAACACTGCCACATTTTCATCAGGCCTTGGCCACGACCAGTATTTGTTTACTCTTTTAGTGCTGAGTTATTTATACAGATTATCAGTTGTAATATAGCTATTCAGACCATGGAAAAAGCTAAAAAACCATTTTGTAGGTATTGTCTTGTACCAAAGTGCAAAAACACTATTAGAAATATTCCCGATAAAGTGTTTTTTGCAGTTGCAAGAGGACAGAGCATTCTCAATTTTTTTACAGTTAATGAACCCTAAAATAACCTTTTTCAACAATTGTGCCATTGATTTTTGCAAATCGACGGACTGTGCAATTTTTTTTTTTCAGAATTCGAAGAATTTTCTTAGTTAACAAATGGAATAATATAATAATAACGGCCTATTATACAGTTACCTTCCTTGTTGTATGTATTTCGGGAGTTATTCCACAGTCCATCAATTTGCAAGAACCATCGGGACAATTTTTGGAAATGGTTGTCTTAGGATTCCACCATCTGTAAACAAATTTAGAACGCTCTGATATTCAACCAGTTTGAAAGATCAAGCATCGTTTTGTAAATTTGTTTATTAAATTATGTAATAACTAAAACCTACAGTGATCGGGTATATTATTTTGTTATCAAAAAAAACTGACAAAATACAGATTTTCAGATGAATTTTACTTAGTAATAATAACTAATTGATAATCTTCGGGATTGCTTTTTATCTTTCCGTAAAAAACAATAACATTTGAAAATGAACATTCCATACCAACTGTATGTTATAGAAAATTTAATTCTAAACAAATTCATTTCTCTTCATTTTTCCCTTAGAGCAATAGTTAACAAGATAATTGTAGTCAAATGCGAACAGAAACGACATTATTTTTTCGTTTTTTTTTGTTTATAACAATATACATATATAATATTCCGGGATTATGATTTTTGGATTTAGCCGATTTTTTTTACATAGAATACACTTGATTTCGTTGAGTGAAATGACAAGATCCAGCCCAATCTGCCCAAACCGTAATTTGACTGGACTAAGTACTTATGAATATTGACACAATGGCCCATATGAATAAAATGGAGCATATGCTTATACTTGCAACATTCAAAGTAAATACTCGTATATGCTCCTTCACACTGGGCGACTTAGCAGCGTTGCTGAGCAGCAGGACAGGACGCAGTGCAGCGCTGCTGAGCAGCCCAGTGTGAAGGGGCACTTGCGAGAATTTACTTTGGATTTTTCAAGTATAAGCATATGCTCCTTTTTATTCATACGGGCCAATAAATCCGATCACGTTGCATTTGACGTCGCTTTCATTCGTCCAATAGCGATGCGTTTCGCCAATTTGAATTTCGTTCGCTTATTTTGCACTTTTAAATTAACATTTTTTGCAATTAAAAACAAACTAAATAAGAAAGTAATGGTTTAAGTATAATCCCAGGACAATAAATATTCGCGGAAGAAAGAATCAAGTAGATTTAAACCACATGCATATTCCCTATTTCTCTTGCAGCAACAAAGTTAAACCTAGCCAATGGAATCCGCACTGAATAAATTTCAAAAGAGAGCGAGTATTATTTTCTAATTGCTATGATCAGCTCCTCTGTGTTTACAGAGTGCAATAATTACTAACAATGACTATTGAATAAAGTGAGTTCTGTTATCTTTTGAAACACAATTGTTTTTGTTTCAGTTCATACCTGTAAGGTTTGTCTTAAGTAATTTAAGTCTGGTTTAAGAGAGTTGTAGATGATATCTATCTTCAAATGTGATTTGTTTTGTGATGTTTAAAAAATAAAGACAAAGGATTGTTGTCTGTTACTGATATGCCAGTTTAAACTCAAGTTGTATTATCTTGACATTTTGCAACTGGTTTTGATAGTACTTTATTGATTGTTACCATCATTTAGTAATTTCCACTTTATTTTTATTGAAAAATGGCTCAAAAAAGGCTAGTGTGGAATGTTTATATGGAAATATTTACAAATAAAAATATTTATTCCAGTTATGGAATATATCGTTATGCTAAATATAGGTGCTAAAGAAAAATTGTTTTCCAGTTTCACAAGGGTTGTGATTTGTTTGTTATTTACCATTTTGAGCAAGATGTCTATACAGGGTGATTCCTATAGTACCTGTGATTTGTTTGTTATTTACCATTTTGAGCAAGATGTCTATATGTATTCTTTTAGCTATGATGTTATTTGTAAACTTGTATATTTTAATGCTGTTGTGAGATTAACTGTATTAAAGTGTATTTTTCGTATTGGAAATATATTAGTTACTTTTTAAAAACCTATTTTTATTTTTCCCAGTAGTTGTTATCAGAGTACGAGTACATTACTGAATTAATTGTGATTAGGTTTTAACTTGGGGCTTCAAATTCAAATTTTACGTGCTGGTAATGAAGTGAAATTATAAAATGTCTCTTTCCAAGGAAATACAATGGAAGATATTAAATAACATAAAGTTTTGCTCTATGTTCTGGTTTAGTTTTAGGGTAAGGTCTGATGATGATACAGTTCTTAGACCCACTGCTGCAATTGTGTGATCAAAACTCTCTAAACCTTCCCCATATAGTTTTTATTCGTTGAAGTTTTTAAAAATAAAAGCGACTATAGTTTCGGCGTACTGCCATCATCAGGCGATGTGAAATTTAACAGGAAAATGGTAAGTTACAAACGTTGAAGACGGATAAGACGAACATGTTGTTTTTTAATTATTAACTGGCCGAAGCAAGTGAAAAAACCTGAAGGGTGGTTAAAACGGAAAGGTTGTCCTAAGTTTCAAAACGAATTATATCCAGCCTTGTTAAGACAACCTACCAGAGGGTTGAATTATTACATTAAAAGTTGAAAGTTGAATTTAACACATTTCAAAAGAAACGGAAAAATAAACTTATAAAAGTTTTGAAACTATTGAGATGACTACATATTTAAATTATTTAAGTAAGTTTAAATTCGAGATCATGCAGACGGCATGTCTAGAAATGATTGACAATCCGGTATATACCGGCCAGTTAATAATTAAAAAACAACATGTTCGTCTTATCCGTCTTCAACGTTTGTAACTTACCATTTTCCTGTTAAATTTCACATCACCTGATGATGGCAGTACGCCGAAACTATAGTCGCTTTTATTTTTAAAAACTTCAACGAATAAAACTATGGGGAAGGTTTAGAGAGTTTTGATCACACAATATATTTCAAC